CTCTTCTGTAAACAAGTATCTAAAGCTACAAACACATAATCTGAACCCGCTGCAATTCTACAATTAGAAAAACACTACAGTGTCCAAGGACTCATAATCATACCACTACAATGCACTTTTAACTCTCTAACTTTCATATTTCATAAACAAAATAAACTATATTATCTTATCTCTTTACTTTATACTGAATCAAACACATTAATCCAGAATTACTCTCATAGCTCATTACTGACCTGGGTTTACTTTTAGAAAGAGTTCCACTTCTACTAGGAGTGTCACGAAATGAAGAACCCAAGCCCATCCCACCAGATCCACCTGGGAGAGGCAGGCCTTCTTTTTCTGCTTCATCTAAAGCTTTCCTCTGTCTATATTGTTCAAGAATTTTTTCTCTCCTTTGCTTTTCTTCTTCTTTCTTTCTTTCTTGCATTTCTTTCTTTATCCTTTCAAAATATTATATTTTATGACCATCTAAATAGTGGTATCAGTTGTAGTATTCCAAACTGATCACACTAAACCATATGCATAAAAATCATCTGTAAAACTCCCATACAATAATATTCTATTAGACAGGTTTGCAGCTAAATAAATACTAAGCAAGGTGAGTGATATGAAAGATAACGTCTACAAATTCTGAAACTAGGTAAGGGATAGTTATCAAACAAAACAGTAATTTTATAGCCAAAATGAAAAGGAAAAAGAAACAAAATTACAGTAGTATTTTTTGTTCACATAGTTTGCTTATTACTCTCATCTAGAATTAAAAGTTGCAAATGTTTTGTTTTATTCCGAATATTATAAACCTCTATAACATATCTGCAAAATTTTATTCACTAGCTTTGTCTAGAACTACATAAATTTTTCAACACTCCAACACCTGAAAAATAAAATAAAAAAGGATGCAAGTATTCTTTCTCTTGGTGGTTTGTCTGTGAAAAAGAAATATCTATGTGCACACTTTTGCACATAAAATCTTCTTTAAAATGGCTTTCAAAATAACTTGTATTTTGCCACTATGGGAAGCAGCTGCATAAAGTAATATGTATAACAAGGTCAGTAGCGAGTAGCAGCTAGACAGAGCACCTAGCGATCACAAGTAACCAAATATTTACTTCATCTCTTGAAGATTTTATGCTACTTGTTTTTAGCTGTACATGTCAAATCAGTGATGTATGAGAAAACACTGATTAATAAAAATAGAAAACACCCTCCTTTCTTTTATTCAGTCACTCTTGTTCCCAGAGTTCATTTCACATACCTCAGCTCTGAACAAGTTTCATCTGATGTCATTGCAACTTCCTGCTCTTTTTCACATGTTGCCATCCTTCAACATAACACATTTTGGAATCCCATGTAATCTACTTGATAATGTAGGTAATATTCACATTTGCATATTATTTCCTTGTAATAGATGCTTCCATTAAAAGGCCCAGTTAAACAATCTATATGTAATTAAAAGAACAATGTGTGTCAGTCAGTCAGTCAACACCTATATGTGTGCTAGCTCACATGAAAACCCAATATTCCTATTGGCTAATTGTACTGTGGTGCTTTTACGTTAATACAAGTACAAATGTGAACAATACTTAACATGCACTGTTCTGTACTGGTGCAAAACTATGACAATTAATTCAGTAACATAAACAACATGCAAGGAAACTCATTAAGTTAATTCTTTACCTTTCTGTGGCTTAACAGTAATGCAATACCATTACAACTCAATACAAATTCCAACAGGAACCTAAAAATTGACAATTAGGCCTAAAGTTTAAACATGCTTCCTATGCAAAGCACAAGTTTACACACTATATAATCTACAACCATTAGCCCTAATAGTCACTGCCACAAATTCATTCATTTTCAATGCCCTACAGCTAACACATTGTGTGAAATAAAACAATTACAGGTTTCAGGTGATACACAAATGCAATTTAGACACTGTATGAGGTGCAAGAGGGCTTATAACAAACACTTGAGGATAGTTGATTTTTACACTTCTTCATACCATAATTTTAAAAATTCACTATTTCATAACATCGCTTTATCAAGAGTTCAATCAAGAAGAAATCTCAAGATCTTAGTCAAAGGTGGTGATTATCCACAAACACAAAGTGCCTATACAAAAAATGTGGTATATAGATTTCATTCATAGTCCTTCCATGTTTTTACACGTCTTTACTTTAAATCTAAATACAAAAATTCCATATTCTGCTTATTAGATTTTAAATTCATTCATGTCTAACTACATAATAAAGCAAAAGCATTATTCAAAGGATTCTATCTATTTTAAAACATATACCCTTTTCATATATATATATACACAAAGCACAGCACATGCTTTGTATGCAGGAAGTCAGGGATACAATCTCGTCAATATCCATTTTTTATTTTTTTTTCCTAAACAATGTTTCAGTAGTCATATAATTTTACTATATACATCATACTCAAACATGAGTTTATTCCCTTGAAATGACTAAAGCATAAGTTACAAACCTAAAGGAATGAGATTAACTATAGTTACACAAATGATTCCTATACACTAACACAGAAGTATGTCACTGTAGATGCTACATGTAGTTACAAACATAAGGTAAAAACTGTTAACTGTATCATTACATGAATGATTCCTATATGGTAACAATGAGGTGTCCCTGTAAGTGCTACCTGTAGTTACAAACATAAGGTAAAAACTGTTAACTGCATCGTTACGTGAATGTTTCATACATGGTAACAATCAGGTGTCACTGTAGGTGCTACATGTAGATACAAACATAAGGTAAAAAGGGTTAATTGTATCATTATATGAATGATTCATACATGGCAACAATGAGGTGTCCCTGTAGATGATACATGTAGTTACAAACATAAGGTAAAAACTGTTAACTGCATCATTACATGAATGATTCATACATGGCAACAATGAGGTGTCCCTGTAGATGATACATGTAGTTACAAACATAAGGTAAAAACTGTTAACTGCATCATTACATGAATGATTCCTACATGGTAACAATCAGGTGTCCCTGTAGATGATACATGTAGTTACAAACATAAGGTAAAAACTGTTAACTGCATCATTACATGAATGATTCATACATGGTAACAATGAGGTGTCCCTGTAGGTGCTACCTGTAGTTACAAACATAAGGTAAACAGAGTTAATTGTATCATGACATGAATGATTTCTACATGGTAACAATGAGATGTCCTTGTAAGTGCTACATGTAGATACAAACATAAGGTAAAAACTGTAAGCAGCATTGTTACATGAATGACACCTATATCGTAACACAGAAGTGTGTCACCATAAATAGCATCATCAAGGAACTGAAACACAGATGGAACAGAGGTGAGACCTGGAAAGTTTAACAAACATGTGACTTTCAGGGTCACGAAGTAACTAAGGTAGATATTTACATTCCCTGTCTTCATTCTTATTCATCACCACTGCTTCATATTTCTTTTGCAAAACCCAGACCATTTATTCCAAACCCCACCACATGGCCTTTTCTTCATTCCACTCTTTTTCATAATAGTTTGAACTTTTTTTGTTTCTTCATGTAAGATAAGAACAGTATATTCTCTCAAAAAAAAAGCAAAAGATAGTTATTTTTTTGCATTATTTCATACTTCAAAACCAATGCAAAAGAAGCCCCCAATACTTAATGGAGCACAAGATGTAATTATAAAAAACAAGCCTCTACCCTATTACCAATTCTACTTTCTCCATACTCACAAAAATACAAGAAATATCCACTGTGGAATTTTTTATCCAGAATCATCCCAACATCATTCACCGCATTCAAGATAGAAAGAAAATACAAGAATGTCTCAGTTGTTAGATGTCACTGATGTTTTAGCACAAAGTTACAATGGGCTATCTACACTATGACCACAGCAGATGATCAAACCCTAGATTTTAGCACAGTAAATCTATAAAATTACTGATGATCTACATCTGGACAACAACATCTGGAATGAAAATCATCACAATTAAACTGTGTACATGAAAACATTACAAGAAAGTGAACCTTGAAATGTTGAGAAAAAAAAAAACAACAAATGCTAATGAACTAGGAAGTTCCCTCACACAAGATAAGCACAAGACTAGCTCATTTCTATAACTAACCAATGTCCACACACTGGAGGGAAAGAGAAGAAAGCCAAAGGATGATGGGCTTTTCTAGAAGTAAAGAGAAATGATGTAACTAAATAAAATGATGATAAACAGAATATAAATAAATGCCAAAAAAAAGATAAACTATTTCTGAGATACTCTATCAGAATCTGAAACTTTAGCAGCATTGGATCCAACTTGGCTCTAATCTCTGTATGTAAGGAGTACTACAATACCTCTCACCAGATTATAACATTTGATCCATCAATCTTGACCATAATCTCTGTCTGTAAGGAGAACTACAATACCTCTCTCCAGTTAGTAACATTTGATCCATCAAACTTGACCATAATCTCTGTCTGTAAGGAGAACTACAATACCTCTCATCAGTTAGTAACATTTCATCCATTGAACTTGACCCTAATCTCTGTCTGTAAGGAGAACTACAATACCTCTCATCAGTTAGTAACATTTCATCCATCAAACTTGACCGTAATTTCTGTATGTAAAGAGGACAACAATACCTCTCACCAGATTATAACATTTGATCCATCAAACTTGACCCTAATCTCTGTCTGTAAGGAGAACTACAATACCTCTCACCAGATTATAACATTTGATCCATCAAACTTGACCGTAATCTCTGTCTGTAAGGAGAATTACAATACCTCTCACCAGATTATAACATTTGACTTTTGTGAGTACATACTAAATTATGACATTATACACACGTGGGCAGGTTGTTATATAAAAGTGGTTTGCTTAATTTGTACGTGACCTTTTGGTTCAGACATTTATAGTTTACTTATTCTTAATTAGAAGTTATCATTAACATCTCAGATTTTCCTACTTCTAAACAGTATATTTCAAAATATTGCTAAGAGCTTCTTTTTTTTTGACACAAACTACAAATTCAAAAATTATGAAATTTTCACACATGTAACATGGCTCTACATACCAAACACTGACTCTACTATGTAAATGTATATGTGAGTTGTGACATTTTCACACATGTAACATGGCTCTACATACCAAACATTGACTCTATCATATAGATAACTATTGTCACAACTCACATATACATTTACTAGTGTGAAAATGTCACAACTCACATATACATTTACTTAGTTAACTATATGATAGAGTCAATGTTTGGTATGTAGAACCATGAAACATAGTGTGAAAATGTCACAACTCACATATACATTTACTTAGTTAACTATATGATAGAGTCAATGTTTGGTGTGTAGAGCCATATTACATAGTGTGAAAGTGTTTCATGGTTCCACATACCAAACACTGACTCTATCATATAGTTAACTAAGTAAATGTAAGTGTGAGTTGTGACATTTTCACACTATGTAATATGGCTCAACATACCAAACATTGACTCTATCATATAGATAACTAAGTAAATGTGACTGTGAGTTGACTTTTTCACACTATGTTTCATGGTTCTACATACCAAACACTAATTATACTACACAGTTAACTAAGTAAATGTAAGTGTGAGTTGTGACATTTTCACACTATGTAATATGGCTCTACATACAAAACACTGTCTCTAGTATAAAATTAACTAAATAAATGTGGCTATTGTGTTATAGTTCAAGATAAACAAGTTTGTATTAGTAAAGACTGATTCATCATAAAGTATTATCTGTAAATTTAATCTGAGAAATAACTATTAACATCTAAATCTATGATTTGGATTGTGTTATCTTTTTTTTCAAATATTTGTATTGCAATATATGCTAGTCAAAGTATTTAAAAGATTATCAGTTTTTTGCTATGCCTCTCCACATCATGTCTCTGGTCTATCAGTTTGGTCACTGCTGCTTTTTGAACTCATTGCTCTTCCTTCACTTTAAACTGATATGTGTACATCAGTTAACATGCTGGTCACAGTTTGCATTACCTTTCTTGTTCTTTCTTCTTTGCATTTTCTTGTTCCTTAGCAATCCGTTTTGCTTCTTGTTCTGCTCGACGCTTCAGAGACATCATCATGATCATTTCCTTTTTCTTTTGCATTTCTGTTTCTGAATTCTGAAGAAGAAAATTACAAGATACAGGGCATTTTCAACTCTGCATATAACTAATTTATTGATTAAATCTAATATTAAAAGACTGTTGTAACTTTCAAAAGAACGAGTATTCTTTTTGGAATTATGAGTTTGGCTAACCATCCATATAAGTATCTCTATTACTACATTTCCATAAATACATTAACTTTTGCCAATTTCACGTAATTAATATGCGTGCATTTTTTTTTTTAATATCAAATATAAATAAATACAAGATATTTTTCACTAAAGTCAACAAATTATCTTCAAATCAAACTGATCACATATACTATATTGTTAACAAAATAAAAAGATGTTATAAATATATAAATAAAACTAACTGGATCAGGATGAACTAACTCAGCTCCTATTACGAAACCAACACCAGAAGTGTCTTTTTCATCCACAGGTTCACACACCTGTGCTTCTTTAGGTCCAGAAACAGCAGGAGGTAATACTTCAGATTCCTTCCCTGTAGGGGAAGGCAGGACTACCTGAGGTTTTAAAGGCTGTACTTTTGAACTGGGTTGTTGTGATTTAAGAGCCCGAGGTCGTAATTTTGGTTTAGGTTTTTTGGGCTGATCATCGTCAAAAGAAATATAAAATCCTTTGTCTGCATCTGCTTCACTTTTGATTGGTTGTGTAGGCAGCTGCTCACTTTCGTTAATAGCTACTTCAGGCTCAGAGTTCAAATCTGATGGAGGTGGAGAAACAACTTTAGGTTTAGGAACCCTAAAAGTCTTGCCTATCTGTGGCCTACTCGGAGGAGAAGATGGCTGTTCTTCACCACCTTTAATTGGCCGACCAAAATCATCAAGTTCAGGTCTAGAAGGTGTAACCTCTTTCTGTTGAACATTTGATTTGCTTATTTCTGGTTCTGGCACTGGCTGTGTTGTGGGCACCATATTCCTTGGAAGGAAAGAGGGTCCATGGGAAACCATTTGGTCATGAAGTTGGAATGGCTGTTGTGGTTGTTGCTGTCGTAGATTAGGTAGAGATGCTGGAGGACAAGTGTAGGACATTCCTTGATAGTGCATAGGATGTGCAGATATACCACTATATGGTTGAAAGTTCTGATCTGATCTCAATCCATTCTGGTAAATAGGATATTGGTAATTGGTTTGTGGTGGGTGCAGAGAAAATCCTGTTGTCTGTTGGTCCATGTAAGGTTGTCCATGCATCACCATTGGAGGAGACTGCCAGTGCTGTTGTTGAGGCATTGTTGGCACCATGGGTTGGCCCCACTGAGGTTGTTGCTGACTGGCAAATAACTGATCAATCATACCAGGTTGTACAACTTTTCCCCACTGATCTCTTCTCATTTGCTGACTGATGGTACCAAATGGATGCATCATTTGTTGTGCTGGCACCTGTTGGAAAGTTTGCTGGAATGGCTGCTGAAGCTCATCAGGTGGCAATCTTTGTTGAGGTAGTTGAAACTGCTGCTGAACCTGATCAGGATGTAGTCTCTGCTGGAAATGCTGTTGGACCTGATCAGGATGAAGCCTCTGCTCAATTTGCTGGGGCTGTTGGAATACCCCCTGACCATGAAGAAAGAATTTTTCATTGTCCATCTGCTGATTTATATTCTGTTGTTGAGTTAACTTTGCAATATCAGCATGGACTTCTGTCAAACTATTATTAATCTGTTCAACTGACTTTTGGAAATCTTCTGGGCTCAAATTTTCATCAGTTCCAATATCTGTAGTTTCTGATTCTGATCCATTTTGATTCAGCCATTTTTTCTTCACAGTGTCTACATCTTCTGCTAGTTCCTGAGCAGATAATTGTCTGCTTAACTCTCCTGACACCTGTGACTTTGTATCCTCTGATAATGAAGATGGTGTCTCCACCAATGCCTCTTCCTTTCCTGTACCACTATCTGGAGTGCCAGCTGTTGCAGTGCCACCCCTGGAAATAGCTTGTAGAAATGCAGCTTTTCCCAATCTTTGCCTCTGATTTTTCCATAAAATTTCCATTCGTTTTTTATCCTGTTCAATTTTTCTTCTCCTGTCTTCTAAAGCTAATCGAATATTCGACAGCTGAGAGGCAAGAGTAGTTTCTGAGCCTTCAGTAGGAGTTGTGACACCAGAGTCCCCTTGTGGAGAAAAGCTTCCTGGAACAGGACGTTGTTGTCTATGCTGTTGCTGCCAAGTAGTTGTATTAGGAAGTGCTGCAAAAGTTGTTCGTTTTTCATGATCAGGAAGACTTTTTTCTTTTGATTTGATCAAGCTGGATTTCAATGTATTTTTATCTCCATCACTGTTTTCTTTTTCTTGCTGCATGTACACAACATTGAAGGAGTTTCCTTGATTTTCCTTCAACTTGGACAACTGAGCAAAACTTGTAGTTGAAAGTTCTTGTTTAAAATCCTGATCTCTATTTTCTGAAAACCTATTGTCATCCTCACAAGTCTGTGCTTTTCTCAGCTCTTCGACTTCTGCTTCAGAGGCAAGCTGGTTATAATAATCCTCTAGTCCACTGCTTTCTTTACTGTCTTCGGGCTCATCTATGTTAGTTTCACTTGATCTGCATTGTTTATGATTAAAGTCAGCATGACTAATATAATTTTTATCACTATCCACATATTTCTCCAATTCACTTTGGGGAGAGTAGGAAATTCTCACATCTCCTTTATGTTCTTCTCCCATTTCTTGAGTTTTTGTATCACTGTTATTTCGTTCTTTTGGGAGTTTCGGTTGGGCTGGCATCAAAGGTTCATAAGGGAATAGCTTTCTACGAAATCCACCTGAAGATAGGGTGAAGGGTAGTCTTCGAAAATCTCCCTTCTCATATCCAAGAGGCTTTCGCTCATAGTAACCTTCCAAGTCATCATCCTCATCTGAAGAATATCTGAAAAAAAAAATAGATTTGCTTAAAATAAGATCATATTTCTTAACTATGTTTGAAGAGTTTATTTCTTGCTTGTTGTTAACTCTTTAAAACATAACCTAAGAAACAAATCTTTGCATATAGCAAGACTGAATAGTACTTAATAGTCATAAATTTTATCTAAACAGTTTTCATTGAAGCATAATGATGAGTTATCAAACTCAATGTGCAAAAAATTTCAAAATGAATGCTAATAAATGAAAATTAACTTTCTAACAAACATTACAGTAAGTGAAAAAAATCTAGTAAGCTAAAACAAATTTCAGGACGGAGTCCTGAACCTGGGACCTTTGGCTAACAGGGTTAGTGCTCTATTCAACTGAGCTTTAAAACAGTAGAAGTTATCCCTATTACTTTTCAATCATAAGGCTTTTTAACCCCATACTACTTTTGTGTTGTTTTGGGTTGATTTACCTCCATGCAACCAAATCATAGCAGTCTAACTAGATTCAAACATATATTTTTATATGGCACTTACTACATACAACTTAAACTTATTAGCTCCACATAAGGGTTACAATTACCTAACCTCTTGCCATCATACTTTGGTCATTTTCTATTATAAACAACTTATTAACTTCACATGAGGGTTATAATTACACTACCTTTTGCCATCTTACTTTAGTTCCTTTCTGCAAGTTAGATGCTTGAAGATATTGGCACTTACTACACTACAACTTAGAAAACTTATCCCTTCCACATAAGAGTAACAATTATACTATAGTACCTTTATGCTACATGCTTGCCGATATTGGCACTTTCTACATTACAACTTAGAAAAACTTATCCCTTTCATATAAAGGTTACAATTATGCTACCTTTTATCAGCATACTGTGGTTCCTCTCTGCTATATGCTTGCTGAGGCCTAAAGTCAGCTGACTGTGTCCGTAGTATGGAAGAGGTTGCAACTGGTGCTGAAACTACAAAAATGTTAAACATTTTATTTACTTTCCACCACTTATCTATAACATTTATCAAATTATAAAATATGATTCATCTGATAATTTAAAAACCAGATATCTCACCTGCTCAGAATCGACAAAAATAATAAAAGACATGCCAATTGAACTGAAAATCTTTGTAAAGAGAAAACTTATCAACCATGATTCAGCTAGATATAAAAGTGAAAGGAGTGATGCACTAGGTGGCACAAAAAAGTGCCTCTTTATATCATGATGATCAATCAGTAAAATGGATTTAAAACTGACAACAGCTGGAAGGTGAATCACTTGGAAAATGTATTTGTAATGGGCCACCTGCTGGATCACTCAGTAAAATGTGTTTCTAATGACAACCTGCTGGAAGGTGGATCAGTTGGTAAATTAGATTTATAATTGACAACCACCTGAAAGATATTTTCATTGGAGATGATGTTATAATAAATTTTTATGGATCTTCTCAAAGCCTATGGTTTTGTAGACTTGTGTTTTTATCTTGTAGCATGCCAGTGAAGACTGTTGCTGTTTGAAGTTAAGCACAAAGCTACACAATGAGCTATATGTGCTCTGCCTACCACAGGTATCAAAACCTGGTTTCTAGCACTGTAAGTCCGCAGTCATACCACTGTGCCATTGGGGGGGCAGCCAGTGGAGATTGTTCTTTATTAGTTGGTTGGTTTTGTGAAAACGACTTTTGACTGACAGATTGAATTCATAGATTGCTGATATCCAGTTGAATACAGTTCTCAATTTGTGTAGAATATTCATCTTTCTTAGTTGTTTTCTTTGTCAAGTATTTCACTTTCGTGCTATTCTATTCTACGAACTGTGTCCATAACATGTTAGTATAGCAGAAGAGTTTGGATTTGTCAATCTTACAACATTTTGATATCCCCCGAGTCACTGTCCTAATTGTCTTCCTGTCTGTCCTATACAAGACAATCCACAGGAACACTCAGCTTTATATATAACATCTTGGATATTAGGTAGTCTGTAGGTTATTTAAAATTTTTTAGTATTGGTCCCATTTTGATATAAACTTGAACTTTAAATTTCTTTAATGTTTTCTGAAAGTAACTTATTTTGAACATAAATAGCATGTTGATTTTGACCTTTGATTCTGATTCTGTTTTCTTGTGGGCTTTTCTGTGTGTATGTCTTGAAGTCTTTTAGCTATTCATTGACTTCAAAGACAGCTTGAAGTTGCCTTAATTCTTTCCATGGGTATTTGTTACTTCAAATTTTCTTAGCTGTGTTGAACAAACAGGAAACTTTTCCTAATTCTACTAAATGTGGATGGTTAGATTTGAAGCTCAAGTACTTGTCTGTGTGTGTTGATTTCCAGCAGATACATATAATTATACTATCATCTTATATGATTAACAAAACATCAAGAATGGGAGGCTTCTATTTTCTTTCTACTGGTCAATACATATTATTAAGCTATTGTCTTGTCTGATCATCACAATATCGAGGAATGGAAGACTTCTGTTTTCATACTAGTAGACATATGTGGATAGACTGTTTTAGGTTATTGTGGAATGATAGGTTTCTCTTTCCTTCACACTGGATAGTAACTTTGATGTTATATATCTGTGGATTAAGATCTTAAACAATCAAACAATCACAAAACTTGTTCACAAATAAATATATTTTACTAACAAAATTAGCTTTTTCAAGCTCTGAAGTGAAGGTTATGAGGCTCACTTACTTTACAATGATCTAATTAGGAAATAACACATTTCACTAACTCCTAACACATGTACAAATTATGAATATAAAAAAATCAAATCTCTCATAAGACATTTTTCCCTTTCATTCTTTCCTTTTTTTCTCTTTTTTTGCCCTAATGTTTTTGCAGACCAGTGACTATGAACCATGGTTCTACAACAATAGTACCATAATACTAGTCTACATTTTTGTTTCTTTTATTTTAACCCTATCTCAACAGTCAGATGTCAAAGGCCATGTCATCGTGTTTGTTGACTTGCATTCAAAATTTTACTGAACTACTATTTTATGAATCTACGTCAAAAAGTTTGGTATCAAATTGTAGATTATAATTCAAATTTTAATATTATACTTTAGTTAATTTCTTAGTTTAAAAGTAAATATTAAAAAAAAACACAGCTAAACATCAATTTTTGTGTGTCAATTGGTATGTTGAATGCAACACAAGTTCAAATTAGATGTTTGTGAAGTCAAAATACAAAATTACAGTTTTGTACAAATTTGGAACACAAACTACCAATATTGACAAGCTAAAATATATAATAAGAACGTCTTATCTTTTCTGTTTGCTAAGATATCGCCCCTGTACTGAATCAAACACAGTGTATCCCCAGCCCACCTCTTTCCATTTTTGGAAACGGTCCCTTATATACACTTACTTCTATATATGACATGAATAACCAATTGAATACTCAGAATGTCCCCCTAGTGGTTTTTTCAGCCATTTTGATGTGTTATTGTGCTAATTTCTTTCTATTCACACAAGATTTCAAACAATGAGGTAAGTCTTTAGTGAGCTTGAAATTTCATATTTTTTTAGACCAAAATACGGCTTAGTTACATTGGAATTCTATGGTGTCAATATAGTAATTTATGATTTTTTAATTATTTAAAATGTATATATAAAACCTTAAAAAAAATTTTTTTTTACATCCTCCACGTGGGAAATTTTATAAAGCTTAGCAACCTACGACAAGCAGCGAACGACTACAAAGTTTGTAACTAGTAGAGATAATTGTTTGCTTTACTTCTTTATTTACTATTCTATGTTTTAGGGAAAAAACTTTAAGAACTTATTTCAAAATAGC